GAGAACAACAGTTATAGCTTTGAAAACAATTTATTTTTCCACAATAGGGACTGAAAATAGCCCATCATGGGAAGTACTGAGACCCTAGAGACGTTAGAAAAATCGGGAAAATAATCTTGACATACAAGCAGCAACAGTAACTGCTTAGCTTCAAGACGAGCTTGAGCCAATTTGCCCTTGCCCCCAGGTAGATGGGAAAGCACTGAAATACGTTATTAGCAGTATTTATTTGTTTGTGTCTCTGTTTAAGGGAATGATGACACTAATCTTGCAAAACGGTATGAAATGTAACGATGAAAAAGCACCAAGGAGGAACAAGACGCTACTACTGCCAGCACAAAAATACACCCTTAACGCTGTATGAAAACCCAAACCTAAATAACATTCAGAATTCAGAAGCACAGAGCTCTAATAGCCTCATCATTTTGGCAAATGCCTCCTAATTAAGAGCGCGAGCGCAGGCGAAGGAAGCTCCCCGCCTGCCCCCGCTGTCCTCGCCGACCCTCTCCCTGAGGAAAGGGCCCTCAGCGAAGCGCGACACAGCCGCCGCCATCCATGCAGCCAGCACCTCCACCCCAGCGACTTCAACTTCGGCTCAAGCCACCAGGAAAGGAAAACTGGGGAAAAGCAGCGCTGCCCAGGGGCCTTTGGCCGTTTTGCCGCAGGTGGCGGGACGCTGCCCGTGCAGCACGCGGGGCCCACAGGACAGCACGCGGCCCCAACGAACGCACTCGTTTGGCCTGCAGCTTCCTCAGCGCCACACGTCGAGGCTCTCAAGAACCTCCCGCAGGCCGAGGTTGAAAGGGACCTTTAGAGACCCCCTAGCCCAAGCCTCACTGCAGTCCCTCCGCGGGCCAAAGCACAGCCCCACTGGCATCACCGGCCTCCCGTAATGGCTCCTCTCAGACCAAGGCCTAAGAGGCCGGTGCTGGGGGTGGACGCTGCGCCCAGGACCCGGCTGGCGCAGGGCTCTTGGGGATGGTGCCCAACGCACCGAGAAGCCAACAGCAAATGACCGCAGCGACCTGCAGCGCAAACACCTGCGGCAGGCACAGCAGGCTACACATTACGGACCCAGCTCAGCTCTTGGCTGCACTATCACTGCTGCTTGAAAACAATCAGATATCCGACCTTAGAAAGACCAAAAGCAAAGTCGCCCAGTGCCACGGGCAGTGTGAACCTGGGAGTATTTGTAGGCTCCAGCAATTTTTTTTTCTCCTTGCACACCGGAATAAACACATATTTAATGAAGTGCTACCTCATTTGAAATCAGATTCTAACTAGCTAGCTGAAGTCTCGAAAATAAATACGAGGTTTTAGATATCCCTAACGTGATATTACTTTTATATTAATGGATATGTTAACTTCTTGCTCTGTCATTGGCAGAGTCCACCTGCAAAACATAACTAGAGTGCCATGAAGGCTACAGCTCTGCAGTCAGGTTTGGCTTGAGCTTCATATGACACCAAGGGGCAACATTTACATTTGCTACCAGAATTTGAAATCCTGCCCTGGCTTTGCTAGTTTTAATTTTGAGCAAATAAAAGCACAAAAAACCTACACTCTAATAGTTATTTTAGAGAATACTGTGTACTTTTGACATCTGCTTGTAGCATTTCACTGTATGTAAATCAATCTTTAAAAAAATCTGCTAAAATACACAGGGTATTTTTCTTCCTTTGCTCTCCTTTATTTGTTTATTTATTTATTTTTAACTAATTGGCTATTTATAAATACAGATAAAATGTTGTAGAAGATTGCATTCTGTTCAGTAATGTTTCCTCCTCTTGCATCACAGAATTCTGTTAGAAACTTCAGATTCCTTCAAAAAAAATCTTACATGCAACTATTATGCACAGGAAAAAAAAGGCACCAGTTTTGTACTGGGTGAGGAAAAGTGTGTTTAGCAGTCTAGTGTACTGCAGGAAAAAATCCCTGGGAAGGCGATTGATAGACATGCTCAGAATTTTGAAATTTCCCCTTAAAACATGCTATGCCCACTCCTGATTGAGACCACGCTCCCTTCCGCGACTCCACTGCCTACAGTATGGGAAGCGGTGTTGGCACCACGAAGCTCTGCCCCTTTGACTGTTACACAGCCCTCGTTGACGCTGTAGCTCTGAGAACTGATTTTCCAGTCCCACATATTGGCCAAACACAAAGAGGCTCGAGATCAATAAAGCAGCTGAAGAGACATAATGTTTCCCCTCACCCCGACTGCTTGGTGATCGATACTTGGGTCGTAAATGGCTGTGGGCAGTTTCCTAATTTATCAGGCTCTTCCCATGATTTACATTATCCATCACGTGGCATGTGGAAGGCGTTGGGTAGGGGTTGAGCCGCAGATTCGCCCAGGAGAAAGGGAGAAGCTTTCACTGGGCTCTTCCACCTCCAAAACACTCCAACCAACTGCAGGGCCCTGTGCATTTTTACAGCAACTGGACCCATTTCCTCAGTTAGGTAATGGCACGTGGCATACAGGAAACATCCTGAAACGAGTGGGCTAATACTACTAACACACAAAATAGCATGAGGGATATATTTTTACTAGGTCCAGTTGCAAGGAGCAGTTAATCTTTGGGGCTGGCAAGTTAACAAGTCACTTGTGCATCAGGAATTGAAATTATTCACTACACAATATAATCTATATATATAATATAAATTTTAAAACATGAACAGAGAATCTCAGAATAACGGCTTTCACTCCTGTTCATCTAGCTCTACCCTGGAAAACGCACTCAACTTTCCCCTACCCACCAAACCTTTCAAAGGTTGATTTTAAATTCTTTCTCTACAAAATAAACCAGTGAATCACAGCCATCATTTTTTGATGGATGCAGTCCATGCCGAGGTGTGTTCAGTGCAGCTTTTTCCACTGAAACATCCCACATGACAACAACCAGCATCTGCCTGATGATTCTCTGGATCATGTAGAAATCATTAAATATTTACTTTAACTCTCCCATCCCCTGCCAATTTAAACCCTAATACGATTCTCTTCATTGCACCCTCTTCCCCTCCCTCACTCTCATTAGAGCATAATTAACATCAACCAGAATTAGGGACTGTGCATGCAACATCAATTCTTATACGCAAAAACACTCTCTTCTGTTTAGGGCAGCTTTCTCACAAGGAAATTCAATTCTGACTACTCTGAAAAACACTTTTTGTCATATAGCAAACAAAAAGCTACCATATTTCATTTGTAAACCATACACGCCCAAAGATGAAGCATAAAAAAAAAAAAAAAGCCTTTCATGGGGATTTCCAGCAGTGTCTTCTGCACCTTCATTCTGCACCCCTGCAACTGAGACTACTTTGAACTAATAAACAAAAATGACAGAACGACAAAAAAAGATTTTTTTTCATTTTGAGGTGCAACATGTTATAAATTCTGTAAAATTAACAATATTGAATTATAGCACTGCTACAACAGGACTGTACTGCCTTTAAAACTCATGACTATTTACACTCCTATTAAAGTCTTTGTACCTTCCAAGTCCTTCCTGTTTCAGCAAATCCACCAGTCCTTTGAACAATAAAGCACAAAAACTAACACGCCCAATTCTCCATGGACACCGTGACAATCTAAAAAATAATAATAAGTCTTGGAAGCACCACACAAACTCCTTATATAAAAATCACTCTGCGAAATGTCAGGCAGCAAGCACTGCTGAAGTGCCCGAAACAGCGACTGCTGCAGTCAGCTCAGCAGCCCACCAGTTTGCCTGGAACGGGGATTTTTTCCCCCACATACACCTGATGGTGCTGAATGAATCTGGAGCCCAACAAAATCCCATGCTGCCACCAAATGACTGGAACCAAAGTCTCACTGTGGACATAGGTATAGTACAAGTAATAAGGAATCTTCCCTTTCAAGTGGCACGTTGCCAAATCCCGAATTCATACAGCAAAAAGTCAAAGGCATCAGCGTAGGCAAAGCGAACTCTAGAGCTTACTGCAGGCAACTGTCAGTGTCACCAAACAAGCAGCCAGCCAAAGCGAGGAAAAGAAGCCGAGTGTTTATTTCCGAGGGGAGAGAGGGCTGGAAAAAATATCAGCATTTTAAAAAATGACCAATGGTCCATGCCTAGGTAAGTCACGCAATACACGGCGGCAGGAGCAGCACCAAAAATGAGGAGTTTCTATGATTCATGCTATGCCACCTTGTCTCTTACCTAAAGCAGGCTCAGGCACACTTGTCCCACGCGAGCTTTGCTTAATGCAGCTTGAACAACTTCCAGCAGGGCGATCCCACGGCCTCTCCAGCCACTCTTACTGTCAGAAAACTGTTCCCAGGAGCTAAGCTTAGGCTTCCACCTATCTGAACTACCTCCTTACATACTTCCCAACTAAGGCCGTGGCTTTCCTCAGCCTAACCTTTGCCGGATGAAGCAGCCCATCTGAAATGCTGCATTGCACAGAGAATCCTTAAATACCAAGAAAATCCTCCAAATCATGCTTCAAGTTAAAGTGATATCAGGCTCTGCACTAACAGAAAGGTAGAGACAAATATTCTTTCACATTATAAATCCAGGGTTCAGCAATATATTCCCCTGTATTCATGCTGACCTCAGTTTACTGTAGAATCTGCATCCATTTAATGCATGAGAAAGTTTATGCAGTAGCTTTTAATTTTTGCATAGTTTGCCACAGACTTCTGCAATGTCTAATGTGAAACAAACAAACAAAAAAAAATCCAAGTGACAAGTACTAACTAGCAGACCCAAATTTCCTCCGCAAATGCCCACTGCAAAGACAGCAGCAAACCTTGCGATAAAAGGAACGCTCTGCAAAGCCTGTTTCTACTCCTGGGATCCCTGCCAGGATCCTGCAAATAAATAAATAAACAAAATAAAAATGGGAGGGAGAGGAAGATGACGACAATTTACTGTCTCAATTTATTCTCACAAACGCACATTACGTGATCCCTGGGCTAGGGAAGTCGTTAATTCCTGCACTCGTCATCTCACAAAACTGGGGCACAGCAGGGCTTTGAAGTCTTAAGTAACCCCCCAGCAGACACCCTGAATCCCAGGGACTCGTGTGCTAGCAGCAAGAAAGAGAAATTTCCTTACTCCTGCATAATTATAAGAGAGTTTGCATTTCATTTTATTTCCAACAAACATCTCCATTCACTGCTAAAATTAGCACTAGAAATGGGCAGTTACTGGAAAAAATACAGCAAGGGAAGCCAAGAGCTCAGACCTGAAGCAGCGTGGTGGGAAGAGAGCCCAGAGGACCCCTTTCCTTTCCCTTCTTTCTCCGACACTCCCTTCCCAATTCCGGTAACTGCCCAGTCCAAGCGGACCACCAAAATGTGCGGGAGAACTGGAACTTTGGCCATCACAGCAGCATCAAACCCGGCGAGGAGGAGGTTTCAGGATTTGCAGTTCCAAAAACGCCACTGGGTTGACACGGGGAAAGAAGTCACCCCTAGCCCTTTCCTATCGTGTGCTCTGGTTCAGTTCTTAGCAATCCTAAAACCAAGTTGTTGTTGCTCATTCTACCCTTTTTTTCTTCACCGGCCAAGCCAAGCACTTACTGCCTCTGGGGGCCTGTGACCATTTCTCAAGAGCAGTCTTCAAGCTAGTTAAGACAAAACACTAAGAAACTAAAAAACACACGCAGGAAATTATCCTGAAACGGCAAAAGGGGCGAAGCTGTTAAGAAACATTAAATCAATTCATTAGCAGTCAACAGCCACGCTGGTCCAGGTGGAGGCATCAGTTCAGATTATCCATTAAGAATCTGTCATAATCCCTAGTATTTCTGAATTCATACCCAACAATGGTTTGTAACAAACGACGATTTTTATCTCACCTACATGACTTGCTATATGGCTCGAGATAACACATTAATTCACTAAAGCACAGAAACCTCAAATCTTCACAGAAGCTATGAAAAAAAGAATGAAAGGCTTAAGCACAAACATATAATTTTACTATTACTTTGCTTCAATTGTGAAACTGTTCCACACTGAATTGGATATTATCTTTAAAATGATTGAGATGATTAAGAACATTCCTACAGGATACAGCGCCAGTATCCATGTGGGATTACAATTTAACACTCTACTACACTTCAGATATAATCAGCAGCCACAAATACAGGGGCTTATCCTTAGGTGTGTAGTGCCTCACGTATGCACGTGGACAGCACAACAGCAGCAAAATCCGAACCGCTCCACAGACCCGACAGTTTTAATCACCAAAACAAGTGCCACAAAGTTCAAATAAAAAGTCGGAGGCAGAGCAAGCAGTTAATTAACCATATGGATTTTTGTTGTATTGACACGCACAACGTTCTCCTCAAAGAAATAAAGTAAGAGCGTACTTCTTACCTTCACCTACCATAGAAACGCCTATCGACATGCCCATGAACTTGCTCTTGGTCCACACGTGAGCGTTGACGCACATCCTCTTCTCCCTGCACTCGCAGTAAAAGCAAGAGACCGGCGGGTGGTGGGACACTTGCTCGGCCACAAAGCTCAGCTTGTAGCCCGCGGGCGGCTCCGGGCCCGGCTCCCTGGCCGGCGCGGAGGCGCCGTGGCTTCGGCAGGGTTTCACTCTGTCCGCAGGCACGTCCCACGAGCAATGAAAGGTTTCGCCAATTATAGGGTTATAGGGCTTCTTGGCCACGGCTCCCTTGCGGCCTTCGTGGAAAGCCGTGAGATAATACTCCACGAAGGCGATAATTCTGTCCTCCGCCGTGGCTCCAGCTGCAATTGACAAAAACAGGTCTGGATGGGCCATGAAATTTGCATACATCTCCAGCAGGGATCTTTTCTCCAAAATAAAGGTTGGAAGCACTACCTGTATGCAAAGCAGACAAAGGCACACGTGACTGCCCCGTGACGGCAGCGCGGCCGCGCAAGCGCGGAGGCAGCGGTGCTGGCGGCCCCGTTTCCTCGCCCCTGCCGCGCCACGGTCGCTTGGGTTGCGGGGTAAGTAACGGGCCAAGGGGAAATAAATACAGGAGTAGAACGAAATCGACAGCCTCAACAGCTGTGCCGAGCACTTCCCGCTTCCCTGGGACGCGCTGTTCCCACCGCAGGGCAGTCTTCCTCTTCCTTCCTCCGGTTCACAAACGGACCGTTGTTCTAACTGTGCTCCTGAGGGGGCAGTTCTGGTCTAACAGCAAACCCGGCTCTCATTGACCCGCTAAGACAGACGAACCGGCGAGCGGTGCCTCGCAGGCCCTCCCGGACGGGACGGGTGCCTGACGGAGAGCAGCCCATGCCACCCCCGGTGACGGGGACATTCGGGGCACCCACGGCCTGCAGCAGAGACGCGTCCCCATCGCGCCAGGCGCTCCCAGAGCCAGCTCTGCCAGGCAAGGCCGGGGCCTTCATCTGAGGGCAAAAACCAGCCCCAGGAGCCTTCCCAAGGGACCCAAGGGAGGAAAACGCTCTGGGTTCAGGGGAGCTCCGAGGTCCCTCCTGTGATGACAAGGAGCAGATCTGCCATTGACAGACAAAAATCTACCCAGAATCAACGATGCCCCACGCAGAAATGCCATACTCTGTTAAAAACAGTCACAGAGAAACAAACAAATTCTTCCACTTTCCTCTCTTTGGCTCTTTTTTGTCCTTCTCCTTAGAGAATCTCCCTCCTTTCCCCAAAAGTAAGGGCTACTTACAGCAGGCAAGGAGCCACCCTTGAAATCTAAATAAGTTTTCATCCCCTCAATTCTGAGTCAGACCAAAGAGCCGTTACATTCTTTTGGATCTCATGGATAACGAAAAAGAAGGTATCAAACTTTTATTGAAGGTTTAGTTCTTTAAAAAATAATAATAATAAAAAATTCCAATCACAACAGTCCACACTCCATGAATTTATCTACATACTAATTCCACATACTGCAAGTGCATAAAAACAGATCATCCTTTGGTTTGGTAGCATACACACCTACTATATATTATCTAAAACATGTGATTATATATATATATATATATATATAAATATAAGCATATTTTACAGGATAGGTGAATAATTTTTACAAATTTATATCTAAATCAAGCAAAACTGGTCCTGTAATATCCCTGAATATTTGTTTACTCAAAAAGAAACAGAACTATATATAAAAAAAATACTTGTGGCTTAAAGCTTACACAATTACAGTATTACAAGAAATGCCTAGAAAACATTACATTACATTACTAAACATCCTCACTGCCTGTAAGCGTAATATGTAACTTCACCATAAACTACCATAGCCAGAAACACACACCAGCTTTTTCCTTTTGTCTTTTTTGGTAACTAGTCCTTTCTAGAATTGGCTTGTGTAGTTTTCACGGAAATAAACAAAACTTGGACAGTATTCCCCTTGCCAGCGTTGGGACCATCAAATCCTTGTTCTAGCACTCTGGCTTCCAGAGGCACAAGGTTTTCAACCCTTCTGTAGCCAAACCGAGTAGGCTACCTGGAAAACCACACATCAGATCTACATTCTTCATAATATTTCCAGACTACAAAGAGGGCTTTTTGTAATTGCCTAAAAGGACAAAACAGCCTAAATTTTTCCTATGAGGAAAAGCTGGCAACGACATCTAAGTGGCTGGAACAGCCTTGCAGGGCACATACAAAACAGCTCAAGTCTTGCAGCAAAGAATCTCCCTGCTACACACTAAAAAAGTCAGAAGAGCCTCTGTTTTCCCTCGGGCTTCAAAGCAAAAAGAAAGTGGTTGCATATGTATTCTTCCCTTTCTTCTTGACAGGAAGAGAAAGAAAAAAAAATGGTAAGAGCATAAGAACAGAGATATTTATCCCTTTTTCTACTATTTACTTTGAGGCAAAACATAGGTGTCAGCACGGCTCCCTACACTTTTTATCCCTTTGGAAATGGGAACAGGACATGCCATGCTGAGCGTTTCACTACCTTAGGAAGCTTTTGTCATCTGTGTCACTGCAGGAAGAAAACAGACTGTTTTCATCTCACTGTAAAGTTTGAAACACAGCTTAAAAACCTAAGACATAGGAAGAAAACTACCATGTTGATTTACAGCAGGTAGATACCCCACAGAATTTTTAGGATCATT